AAGCTCCACTCCATTCTTACCCCATTCACAACAGGCACAATCTCTCTATCCACCTAATCGACTGGAACACAGAAAAAGAACATACCAAAAGAGGAAGCAGGATTGAGCACTTACAGCCAATGTTCCTCCCTCCTTTGCCTCATCCCTTCCTCTCCCAAATGGGAGCAGCACTGCCCTCTCCTATACAGTACATTGCATTCCTCCTTTCCCTTCACATGTCTGAATAAATTAAAAGCATTACATAATCAATCTTCCCTAATCCTTTAGAGCACCCTCACACCTGGCTGGATCAAACAAATACAGTGATCACAGACTGATCGTCGTTACTTGTTTGTCCACCAGCTTGCACCGTTACACTGCAGCTACAACACCACAAACCTGAGGGCTCAGTCTGAGCAGTCCATGCTGTATTTGGGTCAATGCAAATCAATGCAGACAAATCTATTCCTATATAAAGATGCATGTGACATCTGTTTCATCTTTGAGCCCAGACGTGGAGCCTGACGAGTAAATATGATGATTCGTTTGCTTGTATCATCTTTGCAGCGCAACACATCAGCATTTGCTGCTCTGGCAGATCCACTGCATTCCAACATCCCACTTTCTCTATAGTCACAGCACAGCTGCACCAAAGCACCTATAGCATCTCCAAGCAAACACACACACGCGCACACCCCTTCAGCCAGCCTTACCATGTTTGTGGCATATAACTGATCAGAGAGTTTATTCATGGAGAAGTCCAAGTTCATACGATCATGGTAGTCGAATCCCTTTAGGAAGCTGCCGAGGTGTCGGTCCTCCGCTAAGCTCAGAATGAGAAACGTCAAGAAAATGGAAATGCTCGATCCCAGAAAGAGGTTCCTCTTTCCGACACACCGAGCGAGTCTCACGGTCTGTCCTCCCTGTGTCTGCCAGTCCTCTTATGTAATACACTTATACCCCAAGTCTGGGAGCCAATCAAAGATGCGCTGCTCGGAGCAGGCGAGAAACACATGCACCTCCTCACACATCACCGTGGTCTCACTCACACACATCTGCACATCGACACTTCTGGCTGCACGACATGCAGCAGAACTCTATTAGAAGGCACCTGCCCTGGAGGGATTGCAGATGTGTGAACACTTGGGGATGTGCGGAGGACTCGAGAGGTAAAAAAGAACCACAGAATACACCCACTCAAGACTTGCTCTCACACCTGACACGCTTGCACGTGCACACACACCTATCTGTAAGTAGGTTATCAGTGCTAGCTGCAACATCTGCAGCAGACCTTCAGACCGTGTGACACTATGGTCATGAATGCATGAATGTTTAAAGTCCTGCGGGGTCTCAGCTGTTTATGTCACAGCAATGACAACACCAGCCCACATGCCGTGGCATGTGACAGTAATATCTGTGTTCATGATATACCATACAGCATTTAGCACTTACACAAAACACAGAGCACTCAGCATTGAGAGTGAAGGAGCACACAGGACGTCTTAAAAAGAGCCAGTCTATTTCTATAAATAGGACTGTCGTGGATGGCCCTGGGACAGGCTTTTAGCATATCTATTTCTGACATCCATGCAACATTAATGACACCTGCCTCTGATCCTTTTACAGCACTTTGCCACTGAAGCTACAAGAAAAGTAAAACCTTTCTTATTCCCATCAGCAGCCGACAAGCCTTTTCACTTATGACTGGAATAAACAATAACGTATAATTACATATCTCATAATAATCACTACAAATGAGCGCCACTGTGCAAACTGCAGGGGTGGGAGTACTGGGGGCTGTGAAATGGGAGCTGAGTTTAGCAGAATCTAAAATGGGGGAAACCTGGAGAGATGGAGGCCCTCCTTTATTAGGCCGAGCCCTGCCTGTTGTCGATTACTGCTCAGCTGAGATCACAATGATCCTCCAGAGTCAACACGGAGCGGTGCGGGGCCTCTCACTCGCAAGGCTATTTGCTACAAATATCGCATTAACTTCTGTACAGAGATCACTGCACAGCTATTAGCTGCCATGTTGTGAATGTGACTACAGAGGATTCAGAACAGGAACAACAACAAGCCCTGGCGCAGGCATAGCTTCAAACCCTGATGCATTTTTATCTAAATAATACAGAATAATCCACATTGATTATAATTCACAATGTACAACATGGGGGTAGAAGGAGGTTGGCTTTGTTTTTTTTTTGGGAGGTGGGGGGGGGGGGGGGGGCCTTTGTGATAGGTGAGGGATATAGGGGTTTCCAATCACCACAGAAAAGGTAAGAGCATCACAGATCCGGATCAACTCCAAGCACCAAGACAACACTTGTGATCACAGATGGTGACAAGACAACGAAGGTTTTGGGGGGTGGGGGGGTGGACAGAAATACATGATTAGGTTGTACCAACGTCATTCATTGCAACGCGTATCCGTGATGGAGCGCCGGGCGTCCCCGCTCTGGACCAGCGCGCGCCGCTCTGCTCTCCTCTCCGGTGCGAGAGCGCGGCGCGCTGCGAACCGGGCCCCAAGCGCAGATCCATTAACGAGTACCGAGGAGGAACATCAGCAGCACGTTCACGAGCACCAGAACCGCGACCACCGTGAACACCGCGCAAGTCTGGACGTCCAAGGCCATCATCATCATCGTCGTCGTCATGGATGGCGCAGCGCTGCGGGCCGATGCTCAGGATCCGTGGCTTCGGCTCCTCCAGAACCCGCGTCTGACCGCAGCTTCAAAAAGCGCACCCACCCCCCACACACACCGCGCCCCTTCACCCCCTCAGAAGAGAAATCCAGCAAAACCGATGATGGGCAAGAAGGAACGAGGAGAAAAAAAAAACAACAAAAAAAAAAACCAAGATGTCGCTACGTTTCTTCACAATTCATAAAGTCACGGGAAGAGCGCATCATCCTCACCATCATCATCGTCATCAGTCTGCACCGCGAGTTCTCCCCCCGCTAGTGAACGCCTGCCGGTGTGTTCGCCTCTTCCCCACCTCGCAGAGCGACAGTCAGGCCAATGGACTGTCAGAGCCAACAAGAGGGAGGCTGAGCGCAGCTGCTGAGCAGCCTTCAGCTGAGAGACGAGCTGCTGCGCGCGGGAGAGGCGGTCCTCCTGCTGCTGGACCACCGGCTTCACACATCACCCACAGCGGCGGGAGGGGCACAGCCATCCCCCCTCTCTGACTTATCCCGACCACCGAGACCACAATCACAACCTTTACTCAGTTCCCACCCACCCCCAGCTCAAAATACAACTGGTGCTGCTGGGATGATTTTTGACTTATCACCAGCTCCATTCGAAGAGCAAAGTGAAATAATTGGATCCTCCAAGTCATCAGCATTTGATCACTTTATTTGGCAGGGTGTCAGCTTTTATTCAGACTTTATGTGGCAACACATAAGATACAAGGTAGTAAAATATATGTAGGAATATCTGTGACAATGGTGCAAAACACAAGCAGTACTAATACAAAGTCAATTTGAACAGCAGCTTTATATCAGTTAATACACCAGCATCAATTTCTTTCAGCTTTCTATTAGCTCCACACAGAGCCGGCCTGAGGATGTGTGGGGCCCTAAGCAGAATTTTATTTGGAAGCCCCCTTCCATTTAAGTCATTTGCCACCACAACACCACTAACATCTATTTGTGTTCATGTTTCATCATTTGTGCACAGACAACTGACACTTTAAGTTACCATAGTGTTTCCCTAAACAGCCATAATCAATCATGTCAATTCAGTTCATAAGTCCCATGTGTGTAGCGCTCCAATAAAGTTGTGGACCAGTCAGGGGGGCTTTAATATTGCATTTAAGGAACCTTGGAAAATGATCAGTTACTGTTTGAGCTGCAGAAATAATGCATTCAATTATGACAACATAAATCAAAAACAATGTAGATTTTCTTTTCTATGATGACAACTAATGTAGATTACCATATCTTATGGGAGTAGTCGAGTGTTTTGGGGGGCCCGCTGTTGGCCTGGGGGCTCTGAGAAGTTGTTTTTTTTTTGTCATTTGTAACAAACCTGCTCTGGCTACTCCTCCCCCAGCTTTGAAAAAACTCATTCAAATATACAGTAGTCCCTTGCTACTTCACGTTCGTTTTTCGTGGGCTCGCTCTATCGCGGTTTTTCAAAACAAGTTTGGACACAACACACTATTGGCTGATTGATGGATGAGCAAAACGATTGGCATGGAACTTTTTATTTAAAATAAATTATTCTAAATTATTTAGCACCTGCTGCACATTTGTGCAGCCCACACTGTAGTATAAACTTCCTGCTGCAGCTGATCAGCTGTTCACCTTGCAGAGAGGAGAAGTGGGCGTGGCCAAGAGCGCTTGTAGGTGGCAAAGAGCAGCCGAGGCAGAGAGCTGAAACCATGACATCTGTGCTCTTTTAGAGCATTTAGAGTTTAGAAACATTGTTTAGAATATTGCAAGAGAGTGGGAATGGTTTAAAATGCCTTTAAAAAAAAAATATATATATATATATTTATATATGTATATATATATACTGTATATGTATATATGT